GGACTCTAAATCATGATCCGTATATATATATATATATATATATATAATCGCTGAGTAAGTTTACTATAATCGAGTGCTCATTATATGCATTAGTATTGCTATTATAAAATTATTATTATAAGCGTGATCTTTAAAATCTTAAAAGAAAAGAAAGATGATTTTTGGATAAAGAAGATGCAGAAGAGACTCACCGATATTCGGGTACAAAGTCCGAAGTTCCGTCTTCCGTCGTACCATAGATACAATCCGACCACAGTCTATCTCCAAACATAGTGACAGACTCAAATAAATTGAAAAAGGATTTCGCAGCATCTATGAAGTCGATAGTGAAACTGATAGTGGCCCTGGATACTATCGGCTTACCCCACGTGTTCGCTGATTATACAGACTCTATTAAGAAAACTAATAAAAGCACATCTGGTCATTTTAATTCAATTTTAATATTAATTCTTAATTACTTAAGCCATAATTTTCAAGTAAAACTCATCGAGCTTGATTGAATTAACCATAAAAGTTCAAAAATTAAACTATGGAATAAATTTTGTGTATTTATCAAATGGAATTAATAAGATATATATCTCTTCAGGTGCTTTTAACTTAAGAACTTTTGCTTTCAATGTTTATCATGAGTTATTTTTGCTTTTGAATCTGCAACATATATATAAAATTAAGAGTGCGTTGAACTACAATATCATGCTAATTTGCTGCAACCTAAGTATAGTTCCAAGTTGAAACATATTACGTAAACTAAGTCACCTGAAACTTAATTAGATATATCACTAAAGTTCTTAATTCAAAAATAAAACTCGTGAATAAATTTTAAGTATTCAAGCGAAATTAATGAGATATCTAATCCGTTACATCATACTCAAGAGCTTCTGATTTCAATGTTTATCATTTACTTTAGAGGCCACGCAAATAGAAATGGAAGGGCACCAAATAAAGAGTTCATATTTACTTTAAAGGGTACAGTTAAAACTAACGCTAATAAAGGAGAATATTTACACCAACCTCGAGGGCGCATTTACACGATGCATTCCCAATTAATCAGTAACTAAATAGAAAATTCATTTTTCTTCTGTATATAGAATAAAACTATAGTTCGTTCACTAGTAGTTGACACTTGTCTCCACCTTTTCGGACGAAGAGTTCATTTCAGCGCTGGAGTAAGAGGAGAAACGTCTCCACGCCTGAAATTGAGACAACCCTTAATGCGCGCCAAAAGCAAACAGTGAATTTTTTTTTCAGTCACTTACTTCGCTCTATCACCTGCTATTATACCTTTCCTTACTCTAAATTATTAAATACATTGCAGAAAAATGTCTCAAAAAGGACGAACTATTCACTCAGAACAGAGAACTATCAAAGTTATGAAATATTTAATGTTAAAAAATGCGCATAAAGATTGCGAAATAAATATTTTTATCATACGATCTCCAAATAGCAACCTTGTTCAAGATTGTTCACATCCTTCTCCCAAATATAGCGAAATGGTATAGCCAGATGCCACGTGATGAAGGCGGAGCTAAGGGCCAACTCCTGGTGAACGAACTATACCTCAGTTGAGTTGGACTTAAAAATAAGTAATGAATACATATTGAACCAAAAGTTTGGTATGTGTAGCAACTTATATAAAGGAAGGAATGCTTAAAAACAATTTATGCCAAATTTAAGTCAAAAAAATATATTCCCGTAAATTCGTGATGCATTTTTCAAAACATGCATAAAAAATTCCATAAAGCGATTCGAGATGATCGGTTAAAAATGTGTAGAGAATTCAAAAAATCTTGTTAGGCTAGAAATCAAAGAAATTGATAGCTCAAATTCACATATTCGCGCAGTTAAAAATTCTCACATTAGAACACTCGCAGGAATATCGTTGAATCTTCGTACAATGCAAATCTATTTATAATTTCTATTTTATTTTCGACATTGCTAAAATCCCTTCTTGCAAACTTTTTCAAAAATTCCAAGTGCCTAAAAAGATATTACTGATTTTACAAGGTACAGTACTGTTTTATTTTACAACCGTCGTTGAACAGTCGACCCAATTTTTGGCCTACGACTACCAATGTTCATCTCCGCAGCCTTGTAATTTTGACCCAATCCAGAAAACAAGAGAACTCCTGGATCAAGTCTTCGTGAAGAACTTTTTGATAGAACAAATCCGCATTTGCGTTACATGGAGACGAAAACCACGAGAACCTCCCACTGTTAGACTGAAAGCAAGGGGACTCTAAATCATGATCCGTCTACCACTTAGGATATTTTACGTCAGCACTGTGGTTGGTGCTAGCTGGGTGTAGCATATCGATCAGCCCTCCCTGGGATTCGAATCCGGTACACCTCATTGGAAAGCAAACGTTCTATTGAGGACTCAGGAAGTCTTCGCTCATTGAATCTTCCAAACTTTCTTACGAGAATGACGGAATTTCTCCAAGTAGACAAAATAATTATTTAAAAGAATTACTTATACCATTAACTTTGTTCTAAGACACTAAATAGTTGAAAAGTTCGAATGCATGAACAGTGTAACAAGGGGTAGATTTTGAAGATATAGACCCCTTAAATTAAAATAAATAGCTTTTTTTTCCTTGCATTTAACTTATTTCCTACAAATATCTGTTATCAAATCCTTTTTCCTGCCCAGCCATCCCCAAATAATAAAAATTTTAATTCACAACTTTGGCTAAAAGTGGGTGAGGGAGGACGTCTTAAAGCTCTCACAAAAAAGATTAGGTTTACCGTATGAAAGCAATTTGAGCTCTCAATCCTCACTCGCTTATAGCTCAAATTGAGACTTAGAATTTTTTTTTAAATATTTGGGGTTGCTTAGGAGAGGAAAAAAGGGTATAGAAGCTAGAATATGTATAAAATAAATATAAAAAAAACTTATGAGAAAACAGGAAACCTCTTGCATTTTCTTAGATTTAAATTTTTGTCTCTCCCCTCTAATCCTCCCTCTTTAATTTTTCCGTTTTAAAACTTTTCATCGCTATAGCATATCAGAAAAAAAAAATTATGATTAAAATAATTTTTTTCCTACCCATGGAGAAATCCCAAAAGGACTCGCAAGAAAGTTCGTAACATGTGCCCTAGAGCTTCTTGACCTTTACTCCTTTTTTAACCAAAACGGGGGCTAAATTTTTATATTATTTAGAGGTTTTTTAGGAAGGAAAAGAGGAACTGGGAGCTGGATTATAGTAGCTAAAAATTGTGAGCCCCCGAGAACAATAATTTTCTTTTTAATATTTGAGAGGACAAATATACTTAAAGTATCTCTCTGTGCTAACTGTTCAGGCACTGCTGTGGAAATTCTTATAATTTACTTAACAATGTAATGTCACAATTATACACTCATGGACAAAAAAATTAGCGCACCAAGAAGGAGTCGTCAAAATGAAACGAAATTTTATATACGTAATAACTACATTGGTATAAGTAAATGATTAGAAAATCAAAGAAAAACAATAATCTTTGATTTTCTAATCATTTACTTATATCAAAGTAGTCATTACGTATGTAAAATTTCGTTTCATTTTGGCGACTCCTTCTTGATGCTCTAATTTTTTTTTGTCCATGAGTGTATATTAAGCATAGATAGTGAGAAGCAATTACATAAAAATCTTCACGTAACTATATGTTTGAAAATATTTGGTTAATTCGATATTAATGTTCAATTTGATTCAAAACTTCTTACAGTTAATACGCTAGCTCTGAACGATGCTTAAAAATAATTATTTTTCTTGGAAGAAATGGAAAAAAATAATCGTCATTTTCAAACAATGCTTCTTTCATCGTCAAAAATTAAATCTCCAATATCTTATTTTACATTACGCCATCCTTTAGGCTTGTAGCAAATTTAATTCGACTGCAAGTGAATATCGTGCAAATTAGTTCTTCCTAAACTTGATTATACGATACTATGATTCAATTTGATTGTAAACATGATTCAATTTGATTGTAAACATGATTCAATTTGATACCTTAATAAGATTGTACACTAATTGGATGAATAACATGGTTCAAAGTACCAATATCATGAGCAAGCGTTGAGCCAAGTTTTCTGATGCTTGTAAATATGCAAACATAAACAACTCCATGCATAGACTCTGCATAAATATAAAACGGCTATTTATTTGTCGAATTCTCTTCGATTATCCAATTCCGATTCTTCGATTATCCAATTAATTTTGATGACGAGTATTTTAGAAAGATTATTCTTTGTACAACAAATATTAAGCGACTGTCAAAGTAAAAAAAAAAAACGGTAACAAAAATATTAAATACAATCTTTATGAGGCTTGAATCATTTTTTAAAACGTCATTTATTTCGTACAACATTATTGATCCATAAAAAACATACATTTGTAGTGTTTCTGTTTGATTGTAAGAATTTTAATAGCTTATTTTAAATCTTTTAAACATTTAATTAAATGCAAATGCAAAAACTTTTAATGTAACGTAAAAAAAAGTTAACTTTTATATTACTTCTACATATACTAATAGATTGTTATTTTGCTTCCCTTCTTTTTAACTGCTGAATTTTCCTACAGCAAGAAGATATGTCATATGTTATATCAAATGTGTTCAGTTATCATTTGACGTAGAAGGGTCCATAAATTATTTTTAATTGTTTCTATTTTATTGTAATTGTTTCTGTCGGTTGTAATAATTTCGAAACTTTTTTTTAATATTTTTTTTTATATATTTATTCAAATTCAAACGCCAAGACTTCCGCCAATTTCTTTAATGTAACGTCTGTAGAAGATTTAACTTTTATTGCTTTACTTTTAAGAAAAAAATATGCTTATAAATTTTTTATTTCGCTTAATTTCTTCTGAATTTCAGATTATTTATTTATTTATTTTTTAATGACAAGAAAATAAGTTCATAATTAAAATGGTCCAAATTCTACTTGAAATAAAAGGGTGCACATTTTTTTTGTTTAACTTTAATAATTTCAAAACTTATTTTAACTCTTTTTATATTTATACAGATGCAGACGCCAAGTCTCAGTTAAGATTTTTAATGTAACGTCTGTATAAAACTTAGCTCTAATTTTTTCGTCATTTACGAAAAAGTTTAGAGTAGATTAAAAATTAAGCTAATGGATTGCTATTTTGCTTTTTTTCTTTAAAAAAATCAAATTTTCTTGCAACAAGAAGACAATCTTCTTAACTAAATGGTCTTTTTTTGAACTGGTCAGCAGAAATTCTCTTCCCTTATCATGAAAAAATANAAAAAAAACAGTAAGAAAAATATTAAATACAATCTTTATGAGGCTTGAATCATTTTTTAAAACGTCATATATTTCATACAACACTTTTGATACACT